TCCTTAAATCGTCCTCGCGGCCATGCGATTGTCTAAATATTTAGCCGACATTTGGCCATACTACCCGGAGAAGTGACCTTAGAGATGTATTCATTTCTGATTCAGGCTAGTTGTGTATACTGATGTATTTGTATGTACCACCAGGTCACGTAGTGGTCAAGGCAAGTTTTAATGGCGTAGTTTATGTAATACAGTGACGGTATAATTTATTGAATGGTAAATCATCAGAATGACATTACGCCACATTGTGTTTAGCCGCCTGTATTTATAACATTTGAACTAGTATCCATGCTTATAGATGACTTCATGTGCTGACGTCATATTGATGCTGACATGTCAGATATAATCAAATAGGGAACATCAGGTGTTGAAATAATCAGTTATTTGGAGTAACATGAAAACTTTGGCGCAGTACTTCGCTTTAAATTAAAGAAGAAACCACATAATACGAGAGTAGCGCATGCGCACGTTATACGCTAGATATAGTATTAACTCTGTTTACTGTACTTTAGTGACCCCGAGGTTAAATATCCTCGGAACATGATATACATTTTTACTGCACGTCCAATATAACTCTGCTAAATTGTCAGACAAACAGCTATCGGCGATATCACAGTATTCTTGGCGGGCAAAATACATTGCACTCTCATATTTTTTTATATTGAGTATTGAGGAATTAAACGACAGGCGGCAATCTGCTTTAGGCTTGAAGTGTTCTGTAATGAATTTCGATTTATCGACGCAGAAAAATAAACATATTGGCCAATAATGTTGTGCATCGAATCGTACTGTTGCCATTGCCACATGGCATTGAAGTACTGACTAAATCGATTATAGTGCAATCGTAGGACATGAAGATGAATGGATGTCGAATAACGAACAATCAATGAGTCTAATTTATATTCTCAAACTAAACACGATCAAGGTGAGCTTCAGTGTTATCCCTTACAGCACACCAGAACAATGTAATTGTATAGCCATGTAGACACACTCAGTATACTCAACGCTATCTGATAACATACATCTCTGAGGAGAAATTGCGAAGTTTCGAAAAACTGACTTTTGTACATAATATCCGTACAGGTATTGCACTCTCACAATGAGTGTACATTCTAGTTAAACTAACGATCAATAAAAATCACTAACCTTCATATAATTCGTGGCTATTTTCTTGAATTGGTTTTCTAAAAATATTTCCATAAATCCGCTTGAAGTGTTTCCGAGCGAGAGATTCGCTGAATTTATTTTATTTGTTATCAAGAACCGTTGTGAGATTGATTTAACCGTACATTTCAATTTAAGGCATTGTTCTGTTCCATCAGTCCGCTGATAACTCTGCCACTTCTCGTCCGTGAAACCAACTCAAAAGATTAGCTTCAACACAAATACGTCGTCACGGTGCTTATTGGGGTTCGCTTGTACATGTAGTTCATTTAATTTAAATCTCATAACGATGTAGAGTATATGAAGCGTGTATTTTACATGTGTACATGTATCATTTGTATGAACGTAAGCTGGGATAAGCAGGCAAACCGGCGCCACCTTACGGTGTGTATGTGATATAATTTACGATAATAAACACATCTTTATAATAATAAATAAGCAGATTGTCCTGAAAATATCATGAGCAGTGATTTCTGCTGACTATGTATTCGTTGTAAAGTCACGATGATTATTATAAATCACAATTCATTTACATGGGTAAAATTTGTCATTTTGAGTTCGAAGAACAATTTACTATTTGTATCGTGTTAGCATACATTTAAAATATAATGCATGACGTATTAGTCTATGTGTAATCATTTCGGCTAATTTGCATATGAAATTAAAAGTACAAACTGAAATAAAGGTTATGATTACGGGCCCCCTCAGCTTCCTCATTTTGGAACCAGTGGATTACCAAATTTATATGACGTGCTGTCATTGGTTGCAGTCAACAATTATTATAATTAACATCCAAAGATATTACTTGAATAACTAATAAAACTGAGACGTTTAAATATGCGACACTTTTGGGTGTTTTCTGCAAGTTTAAAAATATATGTAACTAGTATTATATTAAATACAATTCTTCAAAGCAGGTATGCGTTTGTGCTCACACATGACTATGCATTGTAAAACAGAAGTAGCCACACTATCAAACAATATATTCATTCACATGCATTGAAATGAACTTACAAGTTCAAGAACATACAACAAATGACTGACAAATACAACATTTACACACAGTCCCTCTATCCCCGGTCTGGAAACGGTCATTGTATTAGGTATGAATTGGCCTCCTTCCCTGGCAAAGGCGCATTGCGGGCATGGGCAAAGCATTGTCACGTGATCAGTACGCAGCCGGCCACTATTTTTGACATCGTCAGTGTTATGTATTTTTTTACAACTTAGTTATTTATTCCAGAATTCGTGCTTTTTCACATAATTTTTTAATCAGGATATCTGTATAAGGTCATACTTTAGTCGGCGAGTAGTTCTTTAATTTATCTATTTTACCACCAGCGACACATTTTCGCAACAAATTTTCATACCTTTACCCAGATATTTGTCGTTTTTGATTTTGGGGTGATTGAAATGAGCTCTATTTTATTTACCATACTTCTCGGCACGAAACCAATATTTGTCTTCGATTTTGACATTTTATGATCGAAACATATCATTAAAAATTGGTGGGCTGATTTGTTATTTGTCACACCGCATTTTATTAATGTTAAATTGAGCGACTTTTATGGATGCTTTTTAGATCTTAAACGCAAATGGCGACGCTTTGAAATGATAATGTACTCAATTCTGTGCTAAAAAAATCATTTATATACAAACATTGAAGCATTGTTTTATACTTTTGCATAGAATAAAGTCATTAGTTGTAGTATAGTTGACTTGAACTGTTATGAACACCCCAAGAATAAAAAAATATCACAGATTTTTCGATCGACTACGTACGTTAACTTGAACGACGCCATTTTGACAAATGTCAGCAAGTTGGCACGCGAAGTTTTTTCCCTATTAAAACGAGAAAATAACATAATTCCCGATATTAATCTTTGCATTGCAGGAACTGGATGTTTATGAGTTGGTAGGCTGGTTGTGATGCGTATCAGGGTTCAAAAAACCCAAATTTCATAGTGATAATTTTGTTTACATGTTTGTTTACGTTGTGGTTGCCCCAATTTGAAGTCAAAGTGAAGTCATACAATGAGGTATCGCTTTGCATGACGGTAAATTTTCCGATTTTAATGAATATTTTGACGGTATTTGTAATCTGTCTGACTTCCTGACTCCCTCGGCTCGGGTGTGAACGGTTTGTTTACCCGCACCGGGGTTCGAGACAAAAGAACGCTAGTCCTTTCCAGACCGGGGATAGAGGGACTGTGATTTATACTATAGTATATAGTCATATCAGTACGAGAACGATATATGTTTAGTAGTAAGTGATACCAGGTGTTTACATGTGAGTACATCCTACGCAACATGTGACATTCGAAATACTGACCTGAGATAGTATTGCATAAATATTCTAGCACAGCCATGACAATTCTAACATTGTGTATGAACACAGTAAACTAGTATGGTTTATTATAAAGTTACAACATGCATCGCGTAGCATAATGGTTGGAAACATGAATTAACTTCATTATCTACGGCATAAGGATAATCATCAACATAACACGGGTATGATCTTTCTGAAGTCTTGATAACATTACATTCACTGATGTCTCACAGTTGGGTACTTTCCTTGGCCATCAAATATTTTCAGTTTGATTCGTAGACGTAATAAAAAGTCGAATTACTGAACGTGTTCGATACAAGAACATGAAAAATCAGGCAGCAGCACGAATGTTAGGTGAAAACTGCCATATTTTTGTTATTTCTTTGTTTGACGTCACATTAGTTATGTTATATATGAATCTACATTTGGTTTAAATACTGTACATGATCTCGCAGCTATATAGTAATGTAAATCTACTTTCACTATGTTATGTAACTCCATATGACGTATATATATGACGACTTTACATGTCTACATTCAAAGCTATAGATTCAGATGAATCGAGTTAATAATATTTTCTTTATATTCGGCAGATGAATCGCAATATGATGAATATGCTCAAACACTGTATATTACTGCCCCTATGGTGTTGATTATACAGCGTTAGTGGGTAGAATCAAACAGCCATACTAATCTTTTATGTTGGTTGTTCCCTGCTGTTCACACTATTACATGGCTGTAAATGGCATCTCGTGCTGTAAATATCCCCGGTTATGCGAACATAACATATATTAATAACAATAATTCATACATAAGACTTGGATAATGTTTCTTTAGGTCACGGGGTCACTGTCATTCAATATTCACAGTATCCAGGAGTTACAAGACATTGTCGATTAGACACATTCCTGCGATATTATATATTTCAATGTGGATGAAGGTGAACTTAAAATATTGTACTTCTTGTGCCTTATGGCTGGATATATATGGTAGTCGAAAAGTGGCTGATAGATGCCGTTTTGTATCAGATGCAGAGTGGCCGTATTTGTTACAATATATGTTTCAATTAAATCTATACACCCATGTCTCAGATATAGCAGAATCTATGCGTAAAGCTATGATCAAAAACGAGAATATTATACTATTTTAAAACGACAGCGGCGCCACTCACCTGTTTTGTAGTCGATGTTGAACTGAATAGAACTACTATATACTACTATCGGGGAAAACTGTTCAGACGACACGCACGCGAAGCTGAAATGAAAGAGCCGTCAGAGAAACGGGGATCAATTTCAAATCAATTTGTCCTCAAAGGAAAATGTTAAATTTCATAGAAGTACATCGATATTCAATATTATAAGTGATAGTAATTACGAAGCCTTGATTTTACCAAAGAGGTAAAATTGAATTACACAAAAGCCTTATAAAATTTACTGTTTTGTTTGGGCACTCGATAAATAGTAGAACACGTTTTTCATTTCACAAATGTTTTGTTTGTAATTTTCAGGAATGGGATGACTTCCGTCTACGTTGGAATCCAGTAGACTACGATAACATCACACTAATGGTGGTGCCAGTGAGCTACATTTGGAATCCGGACACTTCACTACTCAACAGGTATGCGTGAATGTATGTATGTGTGGCAATGAGAAAACCTGAATACTACGCAGGATTTATAGTATACACGCTCAAGTGCTTATGTCGTACACGTGTTCGGAAGACTATTTCAAATAAACTTACACCATGTGTGCGGTTTCGATAAACATAGAATTTCTTCAATTTACAAGATATATGCGAACACGTGAACAGGTCACGGGAAACGTATATATATATATAATTATGTATATCTTTCATGTCGCCGCCAACTGAATATATAGGTTGATATGATCTTCTGCCCGGAGTAAGTGTCTTGTGAGATAATATTTGATCATATCGACTCCAACATTACACACATGAGAATTACGCCCGTATCATCTAATACGTTGCTACGATCATATGTTTCGTTGAATATAAGATGTTAATTAAATTTGGCATGAATACCCTTCATAACAATATAGGACATAATCCTTAATACTTATGGGAAATCATGGGATAGCATTCGCTAAAGCTATGTTCGAGACCTTTTCGGTCGAATGATATTATGTTTAATATTTTCGTCCAGTTTTAATTTATGTTATCGAAACACAGAATGTATACAAATATGTGAACGTCTCTTCAGACAATCAGTGAGTTTGTCCAAAACTTTCATCAGTGTTGCTTACAAGCATTGTGTAGTACGATTAATGATGGTTCCACCCTAACAATTCTCCAGTGTTGAAACTTGTTGTAATGTTATCACTGACATGTGTTCGGCTTAGCGTGCATTCCCACAATGCATCTGCGTAAGATGTATACATTAAGTACTTAAGATGAAATACATTTATTTACACATAGCATAAGTGTACGTGATTTGGTTATGTTTTATGGCGCATGTGGCCCGAGTAGAAACCGAAAAAGTAAGATGCCGATGATTACTCATATTGAGACACAATTAATTCTCAGTATGCGCTTGTTTACAATTAACAATTCCCATCACGTATGCATTAATCAGACATATGCATTTTACGAGAGGGAACTAACAATAAAAGGTAAACATAATAAATTAATGTTATATATATATTCCAAACTTAGTAGCATTTTTTTCAGTTCTTTATAAATTGCCAATTGCGCGTTAGTGTGTATATTATTATGGTACTCGTACAATTACACGTGACTCGCGTATGAAATGTATCCACAGCTGTAATTTGTGTTGAAAATGACATGTTTTATCATCTTGAGCAAAATCAATATATTGACCCTATCACCGGACACGGTTCTATGCAGCTGTCAGATGAAACAAACTTGTGGATGTAGTGATTGTGATTTCTATATCATAATAAAGAACAAGTTGACAATTGTGATATACGCTGATGTCGTGTTTTCATTAGGGGCATCCCCTTGAAAATTATTTCCTCGAACATATTTAGATGTTATTCGCCACAAACAAGAAACAATATGCGGTATGCTTCATAAAAAAGTTGTTTATGTTTAATATTCGCACTACGTTATCATACATACAGCAGCGTATATAAAGCGTTACTACTAAAGCTTGAATTCAGACGGTCGACATAAAATGACCCTCGGCATGAAGTTGAAACGCCCGGATTGATATATAACGCACTCGTGACATGGCCGTTGTTGATATTGTAAACACGTCTTGAGATTAAGTAGCATTTCAAATTTAAATGTATCGATCTGGTATTTTTCAAAACAGGCTCATTCATGATATTCATGATATTGTTCATGCACAATTAAATGAGTACTTAAATACTAACAAAAAATCTTATTTTGACACTATTCATTTAAGTCCACAGCAGATAGTTTTACAGTGTTATGCATCAATTCGAATAATAGTGTTAATATACCATTCTGTGAATATACATTCAATTGTTAAGTTGTTTTTTTATTTCAAAATTGTGATTTCAGCCAGTCGGTGTGCAATCGGGATTACTGTCATAAATAAAATAAGGACGTACACTTTTTCTCTCGCTCGGTTTTGGATATAATTTTATCAGACATGATTTAAAATCTATTACAAACAAAAACAAGTGTGAAATTGAATATGAAGGGACGTAATGTCAGAAGCGCTTCAGAGTAGGCAAAAAATGTTCAGTGCGCCACGACGTGCGTCAAAAAAAAGGATAATCAGAGTTTGTAGTAACATTATTCCTTATTCTGATATAATATGAGGTTATTACGAAGATACCTCAAAGTATGCACGAAGACAGTACAGTGACAGCATCGGCACGGTGTTACTTATGGCGTTACGGTGACAGATGTATAATACTATGTAATACATTATTTTCAAATCTCTATGTAATTCATTGTAATGATTAGTGTATGTATTTCACGTTGCAGCGCTGAGGGGAATTACGAAGGGTATCCCAGGGTGCATTTGAGTTATTTGGACGTGCAGATATTTTTTGATGGACACATAATGAAAGTAACCCCGGGCATACTTCGCACGCCATGTTTGATGGATATAACGTATTTTCCAGTTGATAAGCAGACGTGTTATTTCGAATTTGGACTCTGGAAATTCTTTGATAGATTGGTGAGTTTGACTCCCGGGGCTGACGATGCACCTCTTGAGAATTACATCGCCAATGTAGAATGGGACTTTATCGATTCGAAGACAGAAGCGATTAAGAAAACCTTTCTGACAATGGATGGAGGTTACGACAGTTTCACAAGTATCATAATTACTATAAATATACAACGGAAACCGCTCTATTATATATTAAATGTAATTTTACCGTGTGTCGTCGTGTCTATTCTCAGCGTTGTGAGTTTTTGTCTTCCATCCTCGTCCCCAGAAAAACTGGATCTCAGCATATCATTGTTGCTGACTATGTATGTGTTTAATTTACTTGTGATAGACCTTTTACCAGCAACCTCGTCGTCTGTTCCCTTCCTGACTCGATATCTATTATTCAATATGAGTATTATTGGCTGTTCCGTAGCCTCCACCATGCTGGTTTTGAAAGTCTACAAGAGACAGCTAAATGATCAAAGAATGGCAACGTGGGTCCGAAAACTATTTTTAGGCAAGCTCGCGTGGCTATTGTTTGTCCATGTGAAACGGCCACCAAAGGAAAAGAAAGAAAAGAAAACGTTTATGAAAATTGAACATATTGGAAATGATGAAAGTCTTCTTCTGAAACCAATCTTACGAAATGCTGATGATTCGCCAGTGTTCTGCCGAATAAACAAATATGAAAAAAATCTAGTTGCACCACGGAACTGCTTCACCACAAACCCAACTTTCAAATTTCCAACGAAGCTACATGTATTTCGACAAAGGCAAAGGAATGGCAGGTGCACGTGTACACATGCTTCCGGTCAAGATAAAAAACTCCTTCATAACTCAGAGAAGATGGTCGACATCCTAGATCGACTAGCCAAACATTTTATACCGAAGAGATCCAATGAAATGGTGAGTATTCCATATTTCATGACACATCGTACTCTCTATATAAGGCATTCCTTAAAATACAGTCGTAAAAGAATTCGTAATATATTTTGTAATGGAAAAACACATAAGTGCGCAATTACCTTCTTTTTGTCATTCCAATGCAATCCTATCAGCAGGTAATAGGTGTCAAATGAAATATAACTATGTGCTAAGAGACGCTCTAACTGTTTTATTTGTTTTGTATTTATCAATTACTAAATTAATGCACATACATATGGTACCTAACATCTTCACCAGCAGACCGTTTACCCTTTGAAGTCTTACATTCAACTATGTATGAATCGTACATATTTCAGGATCATAAAAAGCAACGTGCACTGCATCGTACGTATTCTGGCGTACGCAAGTATAGTAAAACATCTCGGAATTTAACGAATGACTATTCATTTAGTTAAAATGGCGGCATGTGTTGCCATAAGCCACTATCGCGTAATGTGTGTATGTGTATGTATGTTCACAATGTAACTACAAGTTAAAATATCTCTCGTCTTTAATCTTTACACACGTGTTCAATATATGACCCGCAATAACTGGTTAGATTCACTGTTAAAAATTAAGGTCAAAGTACATGTGTATAAAATGTGTGTAATACAACTCAAAGGGAAAAATAGATTAAGGTCATGGTCACGATAGGATGGTAAGATTATCAGAATCGCTTCTAAACTCTACAAGTGTGACCCGCAAGATCTGATTAGCAAACCCAAACGTCTTAGTCGCATTATGCGTGCAGTGTGTTCGTAATAGAACTCCAAGCACCTTCAAACTGCGCACACATGTTTTTCATGTGACCTCAAGACATGGTTAGATTGTAAAGTCAAGATCAATGTTACAGTTTCACCTAAGGCCTCAGTGGCTCTGAGAAGTGATATGGATATTTATGTTGAAAAAAAAATCTGGAGCAGGTTCGTATCTCATGTGAGTGCTTATCAAGTTGCAATTAATTTAGTACATATATCGCCATGTTATCGTAATGTATTCATCAAGAAAATTCCTTGCTCTTAATGCAAATCATCCTTAATGCTGTAGGTTCGTAATGCTAATGATTTCAACATCTCTATTGCTACCTCTATGAGCTTTTTATCACCAGCATATTATCAAGTAAACTATTGGAAAGCTTCATGAGCAAAAAAATAAAAAAAAAATAACGAATACGTGAAAATAGTTCATTGTTTATAATATTTAAAGTCACGTTGCTTAACTGATGTTAGTTACCATTGAAGTCAGTTTATCTTTCCTGATATATGTGCATACCATCTCATTAATTGTAAGGGCAAGTTCAATTATACTAAGGTTATTATTGGCTTCATAACCTCAGCCTCAGTGTGTGGACATTTTATTTTAGATTGGTTAATGACGGATAGATCGACAATAATAAGCTAGAGTTCACGTGAACAGAGAGGCATGTGACTAATTACTTTCGTTGCTGAGTGACATGCAATCCAAAACAAACATGAATGATTGTCAATGCTGCAATTTGCGATTCAAGAAGTTTGCTTGATTAATCCATCACAGGATAATTACACTATTTGAATTACATGTAAGCTTGACTAGCTGCAGTATTCGACAACATGAACTTGTAACAGTGTATTATACTGCTCTACATTGTGTATGCAAATCTGAATTGAAAAAGACTATATTAACTAGAGGCAAATGTATAAGTAGCTGATAGCGCGTGACAGTACAAGCTCGTGGCGAGATTATTCAGATTAAACCAACATTTAAATTATATAGTCTCTTGTAACGACTAAGTGGACTCATTTGCCCACGAGCAAAGGATTACATGGCGAGTTAAAGAGAACGAATGGGGACAAACTCGGTATTTTCCCATTAATTTAATATATTCAGTTCTTTGACCTACAGTCGAAATAACTATGAGAAAAGAAATATAAAGATGCATTGACAGAACTTTTGGATCAAAATCTAATAATTATATAATATCAAAATGTGCGAAGAATTAAGAACGTATTGTGAAGGACCGTGACAACCAAGATTCAGTCATTTTACTTTTGTAAATAGTTTAAAAAAATGGAGGCAATTAAACAAATTGTTGACAGTTGTTGATACTAGTAACAGGGGGAAACAACTGATTACCATGCAATGTCCATGTGCGACTCTGAGGATACTCACGTGCTTGATTCAAATTCATGAATCAAATAATTCACAACGAATACTCAAGTCAAAAATGTTCGTTTCAAATAATTGATCCTTTAGAGTGTAGTTTTATGCGTTATTCAAGATTCATGTACGGTAGTTAATTTCTCATTTGTATTAACAGTCATTTGTACTTGGCAATAGCGATTTTTGTGACAACAATCTAATGACTGCATTAAACCAAATAAGCTTGAATATAATTACAGTAATTAGTTCAGTAAAGCCTTCGATAACCTTTTAACATATATTAAACTAGTAAAGTTTTTTTTACTGAAATATAAATTCGTATAATATGTAGTAACTAAGCACTGTCAACGACATCATATGTTATATCTGAATAACGCCCATGTTTAACGCTCAAGTGTATTTAATCGATAAAGAAAAGCGAATCACGATTTTGATTGATGTTAACACTACTTTAATGTATTTTCTTGGGGTGCTGTTGCTTGCATTACACTACACGACACTACACAACACTACACTGCACAACACTACACTACACTACACTACACTACACTACGCTACACTACGCTACACTACACTACACTACACTACACTACACTACACTACACTACACTACACTACACTACACTACACTACACTACACTACACACTACGCTACGCTACGCTACGCCACGCCACGCCACGCCACGCCACGCCACGCCACACTACACTACACTACACTACACTACACTACACTACACTACACTACACTACACCACGCCACGCCACGCCACGCTACGCTACGCTACGCAAC